TGAGTAACTTTTTTCTGGTTTCATAACTACAGACTTCACCAGCAGTCATCAGAGGCATGCTGTTAGTTAGACGTGAAAATTATATTAATTAATTAGACCTTGATGAAGGAGGATGGGTTTAATCCTGACAAGAACACCAGTACCAGAATAAATATGAATTCATGCTCCCATTACCAAAAAATGAGGGGAATCTGTAATAGTGTTGTTTTATAAAGGATGGAATTATTTAAGAGAAAAAATGAGGGAATTCCTAGTAATGGAATTTGGATAAATAATGGGCAAAAAATAATAGTGGAAGAAAATATAAGTGTGCTGTGAGCTAAGGATTGAGGTAATTTTCCATATTGAATTGCTAACAATTTTAGGACTATATCTGAGCTCATGAGCAAGTAAGAAAACAAAATTCACTGGGTAGGGCACCAGCCCCATATACCAAGGATGGTGGGTTCAAACCCGGCCCTGACCAAACTGCAACAAAAAAAAATGGCTGGGCATTGTGGCAGACACCTGTAGTTCCAGCTACTCGGGAATCTGAGGCAAGAGAATCACCTAAACCCAGGAGTTGGAGGTTGCTCTGACACCGAGGGCAATAAAATGAGACTCTGTGTCTTAAAAAAAACAAAACAAAACAAAACTCAAGGCATTTATTCAAGGTCCCCCAGAAAAACAGTGATAGAATTTGGTTTAGAATTCACATTTTATTATTATTGTCTGTATCTAGTCTTTTGTTCTTTGTGTATCTTGTTAAGCATGCAGTATGTTAAGTTTTTGAAAATATAAAGATGGTCATGGTGTTTTTTGTCATAAGATAACTTAAAATGAATTCATGTACTTAACTAGAACTCAGGAGTTATAATAACGATTAGCCTTTTAAAAAAATTCATGCATTTGCTCATTTAGTATTAGCTGGGTATCTGCAATGGTGCCAGGCTCTGTTTTAATTTTGAGGGATATAGCTGTGAACAAAATATGCAAAATTCCCACTCCAATGGAACAGGAGGCTTTGAATGGAGAAAGACAACATTTATCTATGTATATATAGATATACATACACATACATATAAAGACAAAAGATATATATCTATATATAGATATACATGCACATATACACATATAAAGACTATATATATATAGATATACACACACACATAAATATTATGTGGTGATTGCTGTGATGAAAATGTTAGGTGACATCATCATCAGAAGAACAAGTGAGTGGAGAAGAAGGAGAGGGAAATTTATTACTTTGTTGTCAAAGGAGGAAAATAGGAGACTGTCGGTCTCAAAATAACAAATTTCCTAAACATAAGCTGAAACAGAGCTTTTCAGAGGGAGAGCCTATTGTCATTCAAGTACAGTTAATGGTTCTAATCATTCCATCTCTGTGGAAGACAAAGCCAGGACCTCTGCCCTTCCAGGAGGCTCTGGGTCTCACAGTCAAGTTCCTGGCCTCCTTACACATCTCAGGCTCCCAGCTCCATCCTGATAAACCGTTTCCCACAGCAAAAGGAACTAAACACATTCCCCTTCTCCTCCTGACCACTGCAGGGATGTAGGTCTGAGTTTCCAAAAAGAGTAGGAGAAATTTTTAAGAGACAGAAAACATTTTTGCCATTTTTTAAGGCCATTCCTTTTGTTACAAGGATAGAAGATGAATGCTATTTTCTAGGAATGTCATGGAATTCTGGTGAAGTAGCTTTTGAGCAGAATCCTCAAGGAAGTTTACTTATTTATTTATTTATTTTTTTTTGAGACAGAGTCTCACTTTGTCACCCTAGGTAGAGTGCTATGGCAGCATAGCTCACAGCAACCTCAAGTGCTGGGATTACAGGCATAAGCCACCATGCCCAGCCCTTTTCTAAGCAGAGCCAAGACCCAAGAATAGAGCTCACATATCTATTGAACAGACTCTGGTGGTTGGACTGTAAGTGTTGTTTTAGTTTTGAGGGATATAGCAGTGAATAAAATAGTATTAGAGGTTGGGGGAAAGGGTGAGTCATTCCTTATCTTCAGTCAGGAAGATGGAGGTGCAGGAACAGTGTTGCTGGGAACACATGGGACTTGGGGCGTCCATCTGAAAATAGAAGGATGCTGTGACAAAACAGATGGAATGTCTATTATGCCTGCATTGGGAGATCAGGGGAACCCTTACCAAGGCTGCAGTGACAGCACAGGTGGAATGTCTGATATGCCTGCAGTGGGAGGTGGGGGAACCCTTACCAAGGCTACAGTGACAAAAGACAGGCGGAATGTCTGTTATGCCTGCAGTCAGAGATCAGGGGAACCCTTACCATGGCTGCAGTGATAGCACAGGTGGAATGTCTATTATGCCTGCATTGGGAGGTCAGGGGAACCCTTACCAAGGCTGCAGTGACAGCACAGGCGGAATGTCTGTTATGCCTGCAGTCGGAGATCAGGGGAACCCTTACCACGGCTGTAGTGACAGCACAGGTGGAATGTCTGTTATGCCTGCAGTGGGGGGTCAGGAGAACCCTTACCAAGGCTGCAGTGACAAAAGACAGGTGGAATGTCTGTTATGCTGGTTGGGACCCTTACCACGGCTGCAGTGCTTTATCTAAGAAGAATGAGTTTACTGAGGGGCTGCAACTCTGGAGCAGTTAAGGTAGGAAACTGATTTAGGGAGTCAGTGATCAATCGAGCCCTTTAAAAATCAAGTCAGTGGAATCATCTGGGGAAAGCACATTGATTGGAAACAAGATGTTCTGGGAGGCCGCCTTCGGAAATAATTTTCTTAAAGGAATATTATGGGAAGGAAGCCAAGCAGAGAGAGGGAAGAGACAGAACAGAAAATAGCTTGTAAACTAAGGAAGGGCAGAGTTTTGAGAAAGAGAGCAGTCCGCAGTGAGACAAGCTGAAGAGCAGTCAGTTAGACTGAGCTTGGAGAGGCGAGGCTGGGCTAGACCTGTGTGTCCGACAGAGCAGCCACTTGCCTGCCACACATGACTAAATTTTAATTAGATTAAAAACTTAGTTCCTTCGTCTCACTTGCCACATTTAGGAATTCAATAGCTGTGAATATATGATGAAACCATTACAGTATTGGAGAAAAGTTAAATAACATTGAATTATTTGTTTATTTTGTGATAGCAATAGAGAAGATACTATGGATAACTAATCATACACTATCAAAGAGCTCACATTAGGAAATCAGAGCTGAAGAAAGATAACTTTAGGTTAAACTTCGGTAGCAGAATCGGCAATTTGAGTCAAGCCTTCAAGATGAAGACTTTGAACCTACCGGATGGGGAACAGAAAGAAAATAGAGAGGAAATTACAGGTCACTCTCAGTAATCAGTTTTACTAGACAGAATTTTAGCTAAGGAGAGTTTTTTAGTTAAGTGGAGTGGCAAGGCTGTCTCTTAGATCAAAATGTTTCTATAAGAAATTGGGGCAAATTTTGAATATTTTAAATATCAGGATTTGAGGCTTAATTTTAAAAGAATAGGGCACTATCAGAGGCTTTTGAATGGCCAGAGTGATGGTCTAGGGAGGAAATTAAGTTGGTAAGTTAATTGTTTCCTTCTGGGGCCTTTAGTCTTTGTTATCTGTTGTACCACTAAGTAATTCTGCTTTATGTTTATTATATACTGCTTTTCAAAAAAAGTTTATGAAGTACTCTCATGTAAGTTCTTCATTATATTCATTTATAGTATCTATTATATAAAAATATAAAAAAATTATTTTAATAATAGTAAGCTATTATTAAACCTCACAACAATTCCATAAAATTAGGTTTAATAATTAGGTTCAGTGCCTGTAGCTCAGTGGTTAGGGCGCTGGCCATATATTCGGAGGCTGGCAGGTTCGAACACAGCCCTGGCCTGCTAAACAATGACAACTGCTACAAAAAAATAGCTGGGCATTGTGGTGGGTGCAAGAGAATCACTTAAGCCCAAGAGATTGAGGTTGCTGTGAGCTGTGATACCACAACACTCTACCGAGGGCAACATAGACTCTGTCTCAAAAAAAATTTTTTTATTAAAGTAAAGGCTTAATAATTAATGTATTATATTTACAAAGGACAAAAATTAGAAGTTAAGTGACTTGCAAATGATGGGCTAGCTTGAAGAATGAGTAATATTGGGTAGACTGCAGATAACTTATCTCACCATCAACTAAATTGCTGTACAGTCCATATTGTCTGCAGTTTGTGGTGATCTTCATGGCAGCAGAGTGAGACTGAATATAGGGACACATATAGAAAGGGAGATGCAAAAGTTGAGAAATTAGGTGATACAGGTTTGATCTGGGAGGTACTAATGGGGAATGAAAGAAAGGGCTGGATATGAGATAGACAGTGTAGGGGTAAAAATAACTAGAACTTAATAATTTGATCAGATTCTGGGGGAAGGTCTCAGATGACTCAAGAATTTAGGTCGGCGTGCTTGTAAGAAAGATGGGCAAATCACTGTGAAAGCTGGTTTCTAACAGAAAGCGGCTGCTATTTTTGACATAAAGATTCTTTCTGAAGCAAGCTTAAAGCCCTTACTTTATTAACAGAATTTTAGAACTAGAAATTAATTTGCAATTATGTCCAAAAATACAGGTAGAAATGTTTTGAAGTTTTAGAGATAGTTGAAGCTAAGCACAGGTTATGGCCATTCACGTATTGGATGGAAGGACAAAGTGGAGACAGGAAAACAGAAGAAGTTAGAGCAGTGGATTTTTTTAGCAACCAAAGGAAGAGAAGGCTTATGTGAAAAGGCTGTTAGAATTAAATACATACAGGGAGGCTGAAAACTGTGAAACTCTCTCAAAATATACCAGAATTGATGGTAATTCCCTGAAGTCAGAATTTAAAAAAAATTTTTTTAAGGATTCGGTTTTTAGTGTAAAAGTAATGTTGGATTTTTTTTTTTTTGCTGCTACTTTAACAATTATTGCACCACTAAATTCATTAGGTAAGCTGTGGGTACTCTAGATTCAAATTCAGATATATGAGATTAAATCACTTCTGAGAAAATTTGTTTTCTTTTTAGATCTTGCCATATTCAGAAGTTGCTGAAGTTCAAGAGACAGTGAGTAATACATGGTGCTGTGTTAAAAAATGTTAATGTTTTTGCATTTCATTAGGATTTAAAATTGGATTCTTAAAATAAATTTCCCACTGTATTTAATCATAGATGATTATGTCATTATAATAAAGAGCTAGTGCAGGTTGAAAAGAGCAGTTTTTTCTTTTTGTTTTGGAAACAGTCTCACTTTGTCCCTCTTGGTAGAGTGCAGTGACATCACAGCTCACAGCAACCTCAAATTCTTGGGCTCAAGCAATTCTCTTGCCTCAGCTTCCCAAGTAGCTGGGACTACAGGTGCATGCCACAACACCCAGCTATTTTTACAGACAGGTCTTGATTTGGCTCAGGCTGGTCTCAAACTTGGGAACTCAGGCAATCCACCCTCCTTGAGTGCTAGGATTACAGGTATGAGCCACTGCACCCAACCCAAAAAGAGCAGTTTAAAAAATTACTTAACCTTTTAAAAAATCTAAATAGATTTAATCTTTTTTTTTTGACTATAAAAATAATGCATACTAGTATACATATTTAAACAATATCTACTGCCTAAATGTAACCACTGTTAATATTTTGGAGGCTTCTTGCCTAAGTTTGTATTATATGTCTTAAATATGAAAATTTATAAGAATAGGACCATATTCCATTTCCACAAACTTCTTTATAACATACTTTTAAATATAAATATAGATGTTTTTCAGTAGGGAAAAAAGTACTTGACTGACTACATAGTACTTTTATTGTGTGAATGTACGTGTATGATTATTTATTACCCTGTTTAAAATAGATTACTTGGGTGGCACCTGTGGCTCAGTCAGTAGGGCACTGGCCCCATATACGGAAGGTGGTGGGTTCAAACCCGGCCCCCACCAAATTGCAACAAAAAATAGCTGGGTGTTGTGGCGGGCGCCTGTAGTCCTAGCTACTTGGAAGGCTGAGGCAAGTGAATCGCCTAAGCCCAAGAGCTGGAAGTTGTTGTGAGCTGTGACACCACGGCATTCTATCTGAGGGTCATAGAGTGAGACTCTGTCTCTGGAAAAAAATAAAATAAAATAGATTACTTTTTACAATTACTATAAATGGTGTTTTGTGACATCTTGTGAACATTTTGGACAATCACATTATATATTCTATCTGTGGACATCTTGTGAACATTTTGGACAATCACATTATATATTCTAAGAAGTAAAATGCTGCATCAAAAGTGTGATTAGGTTATTTTAAAATAGTTGCCTGGCAGGTCGGATCATATATTCTCTGTCCAACAGAGATAAGCTGTAGTTCCTTTAATATCTCTCCTGTAAAACTCAAGGATAAAATGTTCACATCTGCATTTTGCACATGATTACAGAAATAAGGAAATTCAGCTAAGTGTAGAGTGATGACTGCTGTTCAAAGAAGAAACAGTTCTCAGCTGCATTATATATTCCTCTCTAAAGTTTCTTATTCTAGGGGCCTAAGATAACACTAAATAGGGCACTGTTGAGATGTTTTATATAATCCTTTGAATGGGGTTTTCTGAGAGCCAGCTGCCCCGGGATTACTTGTGTTAGAACAGCTTGATCAGCTTTGTTGGGTGAAGAGGTGCCACCAGCTACAGCTACCTCTGTGCTTGATAAACTCTGAAGCTCATCAGATGACTTAAGCCCTTGTGCACGGTTAGAGGGAAGTTCTGTGCCAAAGGCAATGGAGTGAAGGCTGCTCATCTCATGAGTTTATTTCTGTATCTTAGGGTGGCTATCCATTTGCTCCAGATTGAGGGGTTTCCCCAGATGAAGTGCATCATGATGAACTATCCCTTCCTTTATGTTTCTTTAAGATGGTATATTTGATGCTAATTATAAAGGGAGGTGGCAAATATTTAGTCATATAGTGAAATCACATTTTTTTGTTTGTACAATGCTCTTTTTCTGAGATTTATAGACTAAAATTGGTAAAGATTAAATAATGGCTATAAATATTTTTTATGCTTTCAGTTTAAGAGGCCAGAGTGCAATGGCTGTTCACAGACACCATAGCACATTATAGATTTGAAATTATGGGTTTAAGTGACCCTCCTGCTTCCTCCTCCTGAGTAGCTGAGGCTGTAGGCCTTGCTACCACACCCAGGTCTATTTTATCTCAATGGTCTTTTTATGAACAAAGTAATATGAAGTTCCTGGAGTTTTCTGGATTCTAGCAGTTAATATGGTTTTTTAACGTAGCTTTTTACTTTTGAAAATAGTTTGTAGGAAGTGTTTTCAGATCAGTAATTTCACGTTGTATTTGTGTCTTATACATCATGGTGCTGTACTAGTTCCTCTCTGAAGTTTCCTTCATTCTATGTATGTCCTTAAGGCAGATTCCTTCATCTTACTCAGTTCTGAAGTAAGGCCTTCTTAGGCCACACTGTCTAAAATTTTAGCTCCCTTTATTTATTTATTTATTTTTGCAGGTGTTTTTTGGCTGGGGCTGGGTTTGAACCTGCCACTTTCAGCATATGGGGCCAGTGCCCTACTCCTTTGAGACATAGGCGCTGCCTCTGCTTATTTTTCTCTATAGTTTTTATACTGTATGACTTTTTCTTTATTATGTTATTGTTCGTCTAAGGGCAAAGTTTTTGTCAGTTTTGTTTACTTCTGTATTCCTTGGTGTGTGAAATGAAATATGGCCACAGTAGTTACTTGGTAAATATCTGTTGAATGGATGATTGGAAAAGACTATTTTTCATTGCCTCAATCTGAAAGAATTAGGACTAATCCAATAAATAGAATCAGATTTATCAAACTCAGCCATGCTTGAGGATATAATGTTGATATTAAATATAGGTGGAAGTTTCTGGAACAAATATTCAGATGTTGCTATATATGCTAGAGATTATTATTTTTTAATAAACAGGTAGGGAGTACAGCTGTTTAGAAGTTGGCATAGTGTTGTTAATTGAAAAACAAAGAATATAACAGAACTGTGCAGTCAAGGTGAGACTTTCTGGGTGTTCTCTGGTCTGCTGGGTCCCATTGTCAAGAACGAGGACTGGTACTTAGAGCACTGACAGATACAGAGCAATTTCACTTAAACAGTTTATTACAGGGAAAAGAAAGAAGCTACATGAAGTGAAAGTGAAGAAACCCAAAGTGAATGTCACCCAAAGTGGCACAAAGTGACAATACGTTCCAGAGAGAGAGAGGAGTGGGCCAGTCTCTGTGAGAGGAGAAGGACCCTGAAGTCCAAGCACATTTTTATGCTTTTTATGCTTACTAGTTTCCAAGCACATTTTTATGCCTTTTTTATGCTTACTAGTTTCTCCTGCCTTTTTCCTGGTAGGGTTGGTTACTGTTTCCTGCTGCTGAGGTGATTGAGAGGTTGGAATTATTTAACAGGTTATATAACAGATTGGTTAGATAACAATTTCCTTTCTACACATGGACCTTACCCAGAATCCTTAGTGAAAGCTCCGCCCATGCTATGCTAATTAGATGTTAATGAGCCTCAGGTCAGTTAAAGGTCACTAGGAGCTCCTTACTGTGTGTTCCCACTAGGGAACAGTCCTAGTTGCAGTTTGGTTCCTAGCTAAAATTTGGTTGATGCTCTGTACCAATAGCCACTTCCTTGTCCTCTGTTAACTCTCCACCAGTCCTAACAAGCTTATTATTCTTTTACTACATCTCTAAGACCTTGGAACATGACTGGCCTTGATCTCTAAGACCTTGGAACATGACTGGCCTTGATCTCTAAGACCTTGGAACATGACTGGCCTTGTGAAATTAAATACATTCAACTATGTATATGATTAGAACCACTGCTTCCCTTTAGGAAGTTACTAGTAAATTTAGGGAACACTAGTGATTATTCATGTCAATACTGGGAGACTTTTAAAAGATGTCAATGAAGCATTTGTCAAGTTTGCCTTAGTTGTCTGTGCCAGCTTTCTAGCCTTTTCAGTTTTCTAGTGTTATATTAGTTATTGATGTATAATAAGTTATTCCAGAATTAAGGGGTTTAAACAAGTATTTATTATCTCAAATTTCTGTGTGTCAGGAATCCAAGAGCAATTTAGATAGATATCTCTGACACAAGATCTGTCCTTTGTTTGTGGTCAAGATATTGGCACTGTTGGATGAAAACCTGACTGGATGGAGACAGATCTCTTCTGGATCACTTAATGGTGTTGGCAGATCTCACCAACACCAGAGTTACTTTGCTTATTAGGCCTTTGTACAAGGCTGCCTCATGAAGTCGCAGCTGGCTTTCCCCAGGGTAATTTATCTAAGGAGAGAATGCCAACAAGATGGAATTCACAGTCTTTGTACAATCTAATCTCAGAAGAGACGTCCCGTCACATCTGCCATATCCTATTCATTAGAAGTGACTCAGCAAGTCCAGTATATGCTCAGAGAAGGGATTATACAATAGGAAATCTAATCACTGGGGGCCATTGTAGAGATTGCCTACCACAAATACTTAACCTCTTTCCATAAGCTTGCTACTTGTGATAGATAACATGGCCATCAGTAGTAATGAATTGAGCACAATTATTTCATTGTCAACAAAGCTATATTGTTTGCCTGTGAAACAATTTATAGAAGGTCCTTAAATGGGTGACAGCAGAGATGGGAATAGAGCAAATGCTTATAAGGTAGTGGTTCTCAACTTTCCTAATGTCTCCTTAATGCCACGACCCTTTAATACAGTTCCTCATGTTGTGGTGACTCCCAACCATAAAATTATTTTTGTTGCTACTTCATAACTGTAATTTTGCTACTGTTATGAATCATAATGTAAATTTCTGATATGCAGGATGTATTTTCATTGTTACAAAGGGGTTGGGACCCAGGTTGAGAACTGCTGTATTTAAGGCATTTAGAACATAATTAAGAGAAATAGCTGTCATTTTAGGGCAAGTAAAAGGTCCAAGATTTTCTCCAAGGAGTTGACAAAGATGACAGAAGCCCAGAGCAGACAACTACTACTTTGTTTTGTCACAGCCAATTAAGATTCCCTCACTTTCTTTAAATTAAAAAAAAAAGAAAGAAATAATGTAATTAGTGATTTTTAAAAAAAGTTTGTTGTTACATTAGTTTTTGGTATGTACTGTATTTTGTATCTAAAGTGAAGAAGAACTGAGAACTCTGTTCCTACCAAGGCAGACCAAAATACTTGTCATAGGCAACATTTAGAATAATGTATGTTAAAGCAGTGACTAAATAAAAGGTCAGCAGTCTTTTTCCTGTTTCTTTTAGTTGATTGCAAGTTCTTCATTCAAGATGACCTTCCTAAAGACCAATAGCTCAAGATAATATGCTTGATATTTAGTAGGTCCTAAGAAAATTTTGTCTGACTTAATAAAATTTGTCTTTCTAATTAATAATTTTTTTTGTTTTTTGCCACTTTAGAAGAAATGTGTTCCACTTTGCTAATGTCTTTGTAAAAGCTCTTTGCACAATGCTTGGCATATAATCAGCACTCAGTAAATGTTACTTTCTTTCTTGTAGAAGAAACATACTAAATATGTAGTGTTAAGCGCTTTCATGGCATGCAGAACTAATATTTAATAGTGCATGGATATATATTGTTAAACCATCTTAAATTTGAGGAGTCAATAACTTTTGGCTATTTCTTACACATCTAAATAATTTTTGTCACTCCTAAACCATATCTTGAATTACAGTTGAAAGTAATTTTTAAGTTGGGTAATTTTCAACACAGAATACTTGGGTGATTACATTTTCTTTTTCTACTTTTTTTTCCAAAACAAAAACAAATATTTGAAATTGCTTATTTCAAGATTTTTTGTTGTATAGGAATGATATCCCTTATAGATTTTGACTATTACAACTGATGTGCATGTGCTTTCTACTTATAAACTAATGCTGTTTTCCTTGTCCTTTTATTTCACTGCTGCTTCCTCCTGATGCATTTTGCTTCTTCCTGGTTTGGACTGTGTTTGTTTGCTGCTCAATTACCCTGCCTTAAAAGCTTCTTGGTGATAGCAAAGATGTCCTTGGGCCATCAAGTAAGTAGCTAAAGTTTGAATGGCATATTTGGGGACATGATAATATTTTGATGTGTACCTCAGGCAAACTAATAAATCAGTTTTGATTTATTAAGTATTCTACTTTTCTTTCCATAAATTAAAATGCAAAGTAAAGAAAACAGGTGGTCACTGAGCACTCAGTGCTCATCTGTTCTCATCTATCTGAGATTAATAGGCAGTGTTTGTATATTTACATCTTGGATATCTAAAGATGAATTAAGTACTTATTCAGTAAGACCTCTTAATAATAATATACCTTTCCTCAGTCATCACAAGGCATACATAGGTCAGACTACTGTGAGGCTAGAGATGGTACAAGAAATTCACTGACATAAGAAAGTGAGAAATACTGTTCTATTTTGTTAGACTTATTACATATTTATTCTTGAGACAATATCTCACGCTGTTGCTGCAGCCTCAAATTTGTGGGCTGACATGATTCTCTTGCCTCAGCTTCTCAAGTAGCTGGGAATACAGGTGTGCATCACTGTGCCCAGCTAATTATTTTTTAAATTGTTTTAGAGACAGATTGTTGTACTGTGTTGTCTAGGCTGGTCTGGAACTCCTGGTCTCAAGTGATCCTCTTGCTGTGGCCTCCTAAAGAGCTAGGATTATAGGCATGAACTGCCATATCTAGCTAGAATTTTCACATAATAGATAATTTGGGTATGAATTTTCTAAATATATTTTGGGTATTTCATAAGTGGAACATGTCTTACCTCAGCAGTTTAGAAGACATGCCCTTTAAAATTACATCCAATTTACTTCAACAATTTTTTTTTTTTTTTTGAGATAGAGTCTTGCTCTGTCACCCAGGGTAGAGTGCCATAGCGTCATATAGCTCACAGCAACCTCAGACTCTTAAACTATAGCAGTTCTCTTGCCTCAGCCTCCTGGGTAGCTGGGACTACAGGTGCCCGCCACCATGCTTGGCTAGTTTTAGAGATGGGAGGGTCTTGCTCTGGCTCAGGCTGGTCTCTAACCCAGGAGCTCAGGCATTCCGCTTGCCTTGGCCTCCCAGAGTGCTAGGATTACAGGTGTGAGCAACCACACCCGGCCTTACCTCCACAAATTTTACTGAAAAAAAATTTTTGGGGGGGTGGGAGGCTTGACACTGTGCTAACATTTGGATATGTGCAGTGAATAAAATATGTCTCCTGCCCCTAAGAAGTTTTATAGTCTAGCTGGGGAGTGATGGGACAGTTTTTATATTAAAAATCATAGAATGGGCTCGGCACCTATAGCTCAACGGGCTAAGGCGCCAGCCACATACACCTAAGGTGGCGGGTTCGAATCCCCAGCCCGGACCCGCCAAAACAACAATGACGGCTGCAACCAAAAAATAGCCGGGCGTTGTGGCGGGCGCCTGTGGTCCCAGCTACTTGGGAGGCGGAGGCAGGAGACTCGCTTGAGCCCAGGAGTTGGAGGTTGCTGTGAGCTATAATGCCACGGCACTCTACCCAGGGGGACAGCTTGAGGCTCTGTCTCAAAAAAAAAAAAAAAAAAAAATCATAGAATGACTAAGGTGAAAGGAACTTCTCAGATCATCTAATAAAGCATTAATTTTATACATTAAGAGCCTAAAACTAAGAACTTAAATATTTAAGATGTTAGAATTGGTTACAATCCCAACATATCTTCCTCCTACTGTTAATCAAAAATCAGAATAAAATGATTTCCAGTCTAAAATGAATTCCAGTCTAACCAAATAATTAAAATTTTACTGTGTCATAAATTAGAGAAAGATTTTAATTTTTTTGAAGAGCAATGTAGGAAATTATATTGACTTAGGGAGTTTTAAGTTTTAGTATTTATTTATTTTTGAGACAGAGCCTCACTATGGTCACCATTGGTAGAGTGTCCTAGCATCACAGTTCACAGCAACCTCAGACTCTTGGGTGTAAGCAATTCTCTTGCCTCAGCCTCCCAAGTAGCTGGGACTACAGGTGCCCACCACAACACCCAGCTGTTTTTTTGTTGCAGTTGTCGTTGTTTAGCTGGCCTGGGCCAGGTTTGAACCCGCCTGGGTATATGTGGCCAGTGCCACACCTAGTATTTATCTCTAAATAATCATCTGACTGTTGCAATTAAGCTTTTTGCTCTGGGATTCATTGTGTTTCACCAACCAAAGGAAAGGACTGAAGGAGATAATGGCAGAGATTTCTTTTAGCTATAAATTTCTTCATCTAAATCAGTTGGTATTTGTCCATAATTGTGGTTATGCAACAATTCTCAATGTTTTAAATATAGTGTTTATTATACAACCAGCATTATTTGGAGAGTAGAAATTTTAAAATTGGGAAAAAGAACACAAATCTCTATTTTTATAATGTTTTGCTGTTCAGCTTTGTGATACTTGGCAGATGATTTCAATGGATTCTTTAGTTATTTCAATACCTCACATATTTAGATTTTGACTCAGGTGAACTGAATGGCATTGCTGAACTTCACAAAACTGTGAAGTTTTTGTTTTAGGTACTGGGTTTTATAAATGGAGGTCCTTAATTTTTACTTGGAATCAAAGAAATTTACTAAGTTTATATTTTAAGCATATAAATAAAAATATACAATATATATTAGAGATGACTTTATAATGTACTTTATCAAGTATTAAAAGCCCGGGGCTGTATAGTTATTTACTAGAGATGATACAACTTTTAAAGTTAAGTACACTTGATGCTTGAACAACATGGGTTTAAGTTGTGTGGGCCCATTACAAATGAATTTTTTCCAGTAAATATATTGGAAATTTTTTTAAGAATTGAGACAACTTGGAAAAACTTGTATACTGAACCATGTAGTCTAGAAATATCACAAAAAAAGATATGTCACGAATGCATAAAACATATGCAGATACTATTTTATCGTTACCATAAAATGTATGCAAAGCTATTATAAAAAGTAAAAATTTATTAACCACACTGACACAGGCTGTATCAGTGTCTATTTGCAGTAGAGATACATGTAGACAGATGTAAGGATGGAGTGTTAAATCATAAAATCAACCATAGTA